GCTGATCAGTTTCAGCAGCAGCTGACTTGGGGAAGCTTGGGGTTCTTAAGTTGAATCTGTATGTAAGTCAGAACTGACGGTCAGTTTCAGCAGCAGCTGAAACTGGACGCCAGTTCCGACTTACATACAGATTCAACTTAAGAACAAACCTACAGTCCCTATCTTGTACGTAACCCGGGGACTGCCTGTACTTATTTTCTACAATCTTATTTTTTGCAGGATTTTATTTATAAGACATAGAAATTGAAATGTTAATTACAATTTACCTTGTGTCCGCAGCATACCAAAATCTAGCATTTCTGTTGATGAATAGATTCCTGGAGCTTTACATAAAAAAGGAAATGAAAAAAAATATTTTCTTATTTTAGAATGGCAAAATAAACTGAATAATTTGAATACTGTATTTTCCACAAACCTGTCGTAACCTCTACTTCAACAGGAAGAATGATAAATTCTGTGTTGTCTGAGGCATTTGTTTTTATTCTTATGAAGGCTGTATGATTATCTGCTTCTCTTGAAGAAAAACTGGCTCTCATCACTCCTTTTGTTTCATAGGGAGGAATTTCCTTTTGAAATAATCACAAAGAAGAATTCAGTATATTAATTATGAGTGCTACAAACACATTGTAAAAACCCAGAATATTTGGTATATTTTTTTATTAGTAGACAATGTTCTGCTCTAAAGAGAATAACCACTATATTGGGCTGGGTTATAACTGGATATATATAAAAAAGAAAAAAGGTAGTTAGTAATATAGCAACAACACTGTACAAAAATAGACTCAGATTTCTGTGTCAGAATGTTTGGTCTCAGAAAAAGTATGCCACGTGCTGGTCTCTGACAACGCTACTGCGGCACTGAAAGTGGTGCATTAGAAAGAGGTCACGCTCAGCCCTCTTCTGCTGGAGTAAAAAGTATAGGTTGCCTTCCAACAGAGTTTCTCGGGACTCTGGAAGTGTCCAGAAGAATTCTTCAGCCCTCTTCAGAAAAAGAAACAAACATAACTGTAGAATTCTGTTTTCTTCACATTGGACGGAATTCATATTTAAAAAGAGAATTTTAACAGCACAAATACAGTGTCTAATACAAAAGCAACATAACTTCTATTTTCATCAAAAATAAAAATAACCAAGTATAGCTGTATGCTTTTATTCAACAAAATATACATTTTCCCCCCCCCCCCCCCAGAAAAAAAAAAAAATTCAACAAAAAAAAAAGGGTCCCCCCCCCCCCTCCCAGAAAAAGAATACAATTTTCTCCTTTAATAAAGGTTTTCAACTACAACAAAGAAAATTCTAAAGTGATTTATACACTGTTTAATAATCAAACTTTGTGCACTGCAATCATATATTTCTTACATATTGCACTTTGTATCTTAAAGATATAGTTTTAAGCAGCTGTATTATATTTTATTTTCTTTATAGAACCTCCTATTGAAGGATAAAAGCATGAGTAAGTCCCTCCTTCAAAAGAGCACCACTCACGTCAAAATGGAGGAAGAGATGAAACGAAGGTACAGTACACCTCTATAAAAAGGTATTTTTGAAATTAAGCCCATCACTAGAATGGTGACAGTACTTCCCTTCACCCATGGATGCATAAACTAAGCATCTACATTTGGAAGTTTGTGTTTGGGAATCTTTCAACAATCTCACACATACATAATTTGGCATCCTATACATGACAATGTTCAAGTGGCATCATGACACTAAAATGAATCACTGTATATTTTCTGATTTCCAGAAAAATATATAACAAGAATAGACAATTAAATAACTGCCTGAATGAACTGCCACTGACTTCAATTCTTATGATTTATTTACTTTTAAAATAGTTACTGAAGAAGAAAAATCAACAAATCAAAATGAATATAGAATTGGTTACAAAATTATTACCACTCACCCAGAGATTTTTTGTACCCCCTTGTTGACCTGTTGGAAGCTCTAAATGGAGATCACCTCCACTTGAATACATTTCTACCACCTATCACAAAAAAACAAACATTAAAAAGAGTTTATTAGTTCGGTGAAATTATAATCTAATATATAGTGCAACAGATCAGCAGTTAGGCACAACAGCACAGTATGCTGGATCTATTCCAATTTTGACAAGTTAGATTTTGCCGATTTCAGATAATTACAGTGTTAAGCTTTTAGTAAACAGGCACCTTCTACATCTAATATATAACAGGATTTGTAGTGCATAAGGTGCCCCATTTACAGAAATCACATCAGAGGATGATTTGTTTTCTTTTCTAGGAAGGCAGAACTACTGCTTCCAACATTAAGTATATTTGAAAGTTGAAACACTTTTGCCCTCAGAAGTATTTCTGTAAATTAAAAAAAGGACACATACAAATAAGTAGTTTAGGAAAAGTTAATTTTTTTTCTTAAATTCTGTAGAGAAAAACAAATTTAGTTTCAGTTGTGTACATCTGTCTCAATATTTTCAACAGTCTTTGCCAAATAAGCAGTCATTTTTAGAAAATGAAAAAACACTCCTTTTTATTAAGGTTTTAAAATGTACAGTATTTTTTCATCCATAAATCAACACTCTACAAAAGTGGTTAAGAATGATTATACTTAATTTTACAGTTGAGAACAGATGCATTGAGAAATTAAGTGACTTATCTGTGTTCAATGAGTCCCTTTCATTTACTCTGTTTTGAAAATATGCAGCATTTTGTTTGCATCAATGTTTTTCTTTAACAGTGAAGGCAAACATTAAGCACACACAATAACTTCTAGAGTCATGTTTAATTTTACACAAATATTATGAAAGGCAATTTTAAATTAGCTAATGTCATGCTTTTTCTACTTTAAATTTCCTCTGCAGAGAGCAGTTTCACATAGGAACCCAAATTATGCAAGCTTATATTCAATTTTCTGCTTGCGATTAATTCCTATGATTCTAGTGAGATCTGCATGGAAAGCTATGCAAGTGCTGAAAATTTTCAAGATTCAGCACTAAATTTATAAACCATTTTATTTGTACACTTCTTTAAACATATATCTTAAAATATTAAATTAGGCAATAATCAAATCAGTTATGAGCATCTTATTTCATGTATTTTAAAAAGAGCATGCAGGGCTCACACTACCAGGAAAGAAGTTTTGAAGGAAAGGGGGAAGGGCCAGGGAGGGGAGAGGAAAGCATGGCTAAAGAAACCACACTACACAATATGTATGCAATTTCAAAACAAATATTCAACATATTTCACAGAACACTGTAAAAAAAACCACACACATGTAATTGTCCTCTCATGCTCACCTGCAAAGGTTCACTGTGGGGATTGTGTATATTTATTATAGGAGAAAAACTGCTATTTACAGGAACTCTTGCCCCAATAAAAGGGCGCAACCGATAAGGGTTCGGGACCCCAACGCCAAATACCTGTTTCAAACCAGAGGGAAAAAGTCTTAGTTTCTGCAAGTATCATTACATCTGACAAATGTGTTTAGGGAACAGACTAAGCAATTTTTCAAATAGTGCCATCTCTGTTATAGTTCTAGCCTTCACAGCCTCCTGCAGCAAGGAGTTCCACAGGTTGACTATTTTCTTTGTGAAGAAGAACTTTCTGCTGTTAGTTTGAAGCCTGCTACCCATTCATTTCATTTGGTGTCCTTTAGTCCTTATATTATGGGAACTAACGAACTGAACATTCTGTCTCAAAAGTTTCCTGAAGACAAAGGTATGCACTAGCTTACCTATTGTAACCATAAGGTTGTATCTGTTCCTGATTGGGGCAATATTTTGGATAGAATTTTTTTCCTTTGGTGTTGTGTTGGAGGTTTATAAGTTAAGGTTAAGAGCCTGATCCCCATATGCATGTTATAGTGCCTTTCTTTGGTAGTCCCCTAAAGTCACTGAACTACTTGTGAATGCTCTTCAGTGAAAACTAGGGGTTTTTGCCCCCCTGCTCACTATACTCTGCAACCCCCCTCCCACCTTCCTAGAGCACGAGGGAAGGGGGAGGCCGCAGGGAGCAGCTCCCAGCTCATGGGGCTCCCGGACCTATGATGGCCCTGCGGCTGGGGTTGCTGCCACCAGCAGCTCCCAGCCCTAGGGCTAAGTCCTGCTCTCAGGTACTGGTTAATTGACACCCAATAAACATTACCTGGTAAGGGTGATGCTTACCAGGTAATTGGTTACCTGTTCACATCCCTAGTGGGCGCACCAAGACCTAAACCCCAGGTGAGGTGAGGAGTTGGGGAAATGGAGTGTGGATGGAGTACTGGGAGCCTAAGCATGGGAAACAGCCGCCCCCCCGCACGAGCTTTTATGCCCAGAGCCAGTGATGTGGGAGAAGGGTGCACGGCCCTTCATAAAACCTGAACACACTGCAGCACCTCCTTCACCCCTACTTCCCGCACCAGTGCTGACCTGACATTTGTCACACTCAATGTTCAATGTTTGTGTCTCAGTAATTAGCTGAGGTGGCTGGCATAGAAATCATAATTTTGGATGTTCACTGAGCCAGCTTGATCTGAAACACTGAAATAAACACGAATTTCCAGCATGCCTTTTTAAAATTAATTTTCAGAGTTAGAGCACACTTGAAATTGATGAGATTTTGATGAGCTATTAATATATAGCTGTGTGTCAGAATAATGGTGCTTATGGTATTAATGCTCACAGTCAAGCAAAAAGTTCTACGGCACTTTTTCCATTTCTTGGCACCTCTCAGAGATATCTGAACAATCTTTTTTTATACCAGCTACTAAACATTCACAAAAGATATTCACAGACCTATATGGTTATCTATTTTTAAGAATGCTAAAAAGATTACTTTTCTATTTCTTCTCTTACCTGGTAAGTAAATACCCCATGATTAGAAGTGTTAATAAATAAAGTGTTCTCTACATTCCCCACTACTCTTGCAAGGAAAACGACATCAAAAGATGTGTTCCCTCCAGGAAGAATTTTCTGAAAAGTAAAATCAATGAGAAAATAAGAACATTTAGCTAGGACATTACAGCTTTCAAATAAACAAACAATGTCACACGTTATAATCAAGAATCACCTCCAGTGTACTTCATGACAAACCTGACCTGTGGATAATAGCCACAATGACTCAGCAAGGCATGCAAGAGCACGTGACCAGACCAAAGGATACTAAATTCCATTTTGATGCCTGTATTCTTCCACAAACTGAGCTGGGAACAGCATGGAACTAAGGGTTGCCACCATTTAGAAAGATTATAAAGATGGGGATTGACACTTCTTGGCCGACCCCCTCACACCCGAACAGAAGAAACACTGGAGGAACAAACACTGAGCTCAAGGAAGTGCTGATCCCAGCATAAAGGGATTTCTAGACTGTAAACTTGGTGAACTGCTTGTATCCTCAGTCAGGGTGAAATATTGAGGTAATGCTAATTCAAACCCTATCTATGTAGTATATTAGACTGAGTTTGCATTTTTGTTTATTTACTAGGTAATCTGCTTTGAACTGTTTGCTATCACTTAAAATCTATCTTTCTGTAGTTAACACACTTGTTTTATGTTTTATATTAATCAGTTTTTTGAGTGATGTGTTTGGGAATCCTAGTACTAGGGGACTCTGAAGCTGAGAGGCTAGCACTGGGGGGATTGGGTGCAGGCAACTCTGGGGTCAGTGGCTAGCACGGGGGAGGGGGTAGTGGAGGATTGAGGGGCTCTAGGGCTGGCTCTGGGATCTGGGGCTTTTTATAACGTGGACCAGCAAACCTATTCACAAACTTTTGGCGGATCGGCACCATTTTATTCGCATATTTGAATATTTATTATTTGCATAATGAATATGAAAATTAAATGGTGCTGGTCCACCAAAAGTTTGTGAATGGGCTCCCTCGTTCCCGCTATAAAAAAAGGCTAGAAAGCACTAGCTTAAATAAAGCATTAAGATAACTAAATTGAGTGTGTGGCACCACCTGCTGTTTTGTTGGGTGATAACATGGCCTGGAGAGCAGTACAAGGGAGGCCAAATCAGGTGAATTGTTAGGGATGGAAAGTGGTTAGGGTTAGGGTTGGCTCCCAGACTGCATCTAGGGGTGACAACCCATCACATTGATATGCGTATTCAATACTGAGGACCAAAGCATTCCATAATTGTACATTAGAATATAGGATTTGGACACATTAGCAAAAGGCACTTTCAGCACCAAAACAGCAAAGCTGAATAATCAGAAACATCATACCACCCATCACCTCACCTACACATTAAAATAAAAAAAATGTTCGTTGTCTTAAAGTGGAGAAAAAATAAAAAGTATCCCCACTTCTCCTTCTGTCCTCTTCATCTGATCCATCACTTTTAGGAAATGACAACAGATCATTTGTTTAGAAAAAACTCACACTATGCACAGATGTGCCAATTTTTTAGCTCTGTCTGTCCAAACTATGTTAATTCTGCTGATTGTCAGAGGGGTCAGCAGCAGGTGAGTTGCTAGCTGGGAAAACAGTGAGCTGGGTCAGAGCTGATGGCGGGGGGGAAGGGGAAGAGGGGTGGCAGGGGGACCAGAAGTGACCTACCCTGGGCCGGCAAAATCCCTCATCTGGGACCTGTCAGGTCCCAAGAGTGCCGGACCAGGGAGGTCCAACCTGTACAAACAATTATTAGCAATCTATATTGTAATTAAAAACAAAACATCACCCTAAACTCTGCTCTTTATTTCAAAACCTACACTTGAAAATTACTCTGTTCTAACAGAATAAGACTGACAGTAATTAAAACATCCATACCCAGCCTAAACTTATCTTAAAATCACTGATAGCACTAGTGCTGAGAAACAGCCTATCGGTTTTAAAAGACATTACTAGATGTACCCTGACATCTCAGTATAAGCTAGCAACTCCTCTGGCCAATTTAATAAGATTTACTAATGAACACAGGAAAATCAGTTTCCTAATGTCCTCCAAAAGAAGTGAAGGTTCTTATGAGAATTATACAATCTGGCATAGTCTGGCATCCTTTGGGGAGAAAAAAAAAAATCAGGATTCATAAAGGAAAGCGTACAAGTCATAACTGCAAATAGACATTATTTAATTGCTGAAAATGCCTTTAGAAACAAAGATATTTTATCAGTCTTAGTAACTGGGATGAGATCAAAACAACTGAAGAATTCATAATGTTTTAGTTATCCACCAGAAATTTTGTTTAAAAAAAGAGCTACTCATTACTAAGAAAAAGTTTTCATAGAAATAATTAAAACAGAATAATTTTAAAAAGCAGAGTAACTCACCCTATTTTGAAAGAATGATGCATGAAAATGTGATGTTGTAGCAGATATTGATACTAATATAATAGTTTCTTCTGAACTAGGGTTATGTAGATAAACTTTTTCCATTTTTGGCATCCCAACTGGCCTGTCAAAAAACAAGAAAAAAAGATCAACATCTGTTCAGAATGCTTTTATTAGATAGAATTATTACTGGATTTCATATCAGAGAAGATTGGACAATAAATGTAAATACAGAAGTGAAAATAATGCACGTACATAAGTCCTCATTAAACAATTATGAAGCAATACTTGAAAGTCTCACGTGAAAATAAGAGAAGCAATACCCCTTACAGGCTTGTTCTTTTTCTGTATTTTAATTACTTATTTGATTATACACTTCTGTGTGGCGCTTACTGTAGTATCTGAACATACCCCAAACATCAATGTCTCTGAAGAAATTTGTTTTATACCTCATAATACATACATTTCAAATAAGCCTCAGCATGATTTATACGTATGTAACCAACAAGTTTATTCCTAGTCGATCTCTGAAAGTTATGTTCAACTCTCATCTAGGTACTTGCTCCCTAAAACTTCAATCTGTGCTAGGGATGTTAAATTGCGGGTAATTGACTAATCGAACAGTCGATGCATTTTGCATCAACTATTCAACTAGCTGATAGGGTGTCTCCGCCTTTGATGTGTAGAACAGCCCTATGGCTGTTGCTAAACTTTAAAGGCGAAAGTGCCACATGGAGCCAGGGGTCAGTTGGGGACTCCCCAGCTAATCCCAGGCTCCTTGTAGTGCTGCTACTTTGAAGTGCTGTGGGAGTCCACTCCTGATGTTTCAAAATGGCAGCGCCGCATGGAGTCCAGGAGTCCCCACCGGTTCCCAGGCTTCACGTGGTGCTGCAGCTTTGAAACACCATGAAGGGCCTGACACTGGGCTCCCGAGGTGGTATTTCAAAGAACCTGCACCAAGTAGAGCTTGGGGTCTGGCCCCCAGCTCCATGTGGCGCTGTCGCTTTAAAGTACCTCCTTCCTCCTCCTTGCTATCTCTTTCTGATGGGGGGGGGGGGGGGAAGAGAGGGAGAGCAACTAGTCGACAAGCTTGTTGACTATCCAATAAGTATTTGCTTTATTGGATAGCCAACTAGTTCTTCACATCCCTAATCTGTGCCTATTCAAATAATATACACCTCAATTATAGTAGACACTATCTAGAAATTCTGGTTAATTGTTTCATCCAAACCAAAAGATTCTGGCAACCAAAGTTAATTTTCGTCTCATTACCAGCTGACTTAACGAATGCTAGTGTAATACTGAGGGATAATAATCAGCCTCCATCATAATCAATTCATTACTTAGATAACTGGAAAGTGTTTACTACTTATGAAGTAATAAGTGTATCCTGTGCTAAGCATCCTGTAGCTAAAAGGTCAAGGTGTTAAACAAGGATATGGTTACTAACAAGTTATTTTTATTCCACTGAAATACTATCTTCTCACTGTGCACTTTCTAGGGCTTTCTAGAAAGGCAGCTACATGTAGCAATTGATAACTGAAATTATAAATCTGGAAGAGAACTTGTTGGCATCAATACTTTTATCTGAAACAAATAGCTGCTAGAATAGTTAAAATATGGAATTTACCCTCTTCTTTAGAGGTAAAGATGTGGATAAGTCCCTGGCACTGAACCACACAGAACCCCAGCTAAACTTACAAAGGTCCTTCCTGGTTGATGGTTCAAAAATAATTCTTGGGGATTTCCAGCTGTTTAATGGGGGAGGGCAAGAATAGGTTGTTAGGAAAAGACCCTTTCTGTAAACGTCTCTGGCTTCTTTTCAATCTATACCTAGTTTGGGACTTGAAACGAATGCAGACTGTCTTCTGAAATTTGTAAGATTTCATTTAACTATTAAAAGTTAAAAATGTAATCTCCGCAGGAATTCCCATTCTGCCTCAGCATATCTCCCCTTCCACTTTCCCTCTGTGGGAGAATGGGGAAGAATGGAAAGATTGTGATTTTCATTTTATTCTTGCTCATTTCATCTTGTTCAAGGAAAGAGAAGTCTAGCCCCTCCAACAGGTCTGTTCTGGTTCTAGATAGAAACTTTATGAATTTCTTGCTCCAGAATCACCTTTGGCAACTGCTGAAACAGTCAAAAGAAAAGCTTCCTATGAAAGAAAGACCTAAGCGAAGGAGACTACGGTGACTTCAATGACACACGCAACACCCTATTTACCCTAAATGGAAAGGTTATCCATTCATACTTTTGGTCAATTCACATCTATTAATAGTATAGCTTTGCATTCTTACCACAGCTTCGTAGAAAGCAGGACAGTAAACAAGACCAAAGCACTAAAAGGAATGCACTGTTCTGCACTCACAGGTATGTAACAGATGGTCTGAGCAGCATGGGCAAGTTACTTTTCTGAGTTTAGCTGTGTCACTGTGAGAGGTGAAATACAGCCGAAAGGTAGCAATATTACTGCACTATCAGAGACAGATTCTTAATCTCCAAGTTTTAATTAATGTAACAAGTACAAGTATTTTTATAAGGTACCATTTGAACCAATATTTGCAGTGTCCAACAAATAAATGTTAAAAAAAAAATCAGACTTATTTTAATCTAAGATATAATGAAGTTTGAAAAAAAATCAAGTCAGTAATGAGACATTTCATGTATTCATTTCTCTGAAAAAGCCGATCTAAAATTTAAACTTATATGGTGTATGCAGAACGTATATACGGGCTATTTTCAAAGGATAAACAAACTGAATATATAAATATACAGCACATAGCTGCTGTGATATAAACACAACTGATTTATTTCTACACAAATAAACAATGTAGTTTCAATTGACCCAAAACTATCTGCAAATTTACCAAATAGTTTTGACCAAAATTTGTTTTTTGGAACTTTGATGTCATTTACAAAATGACAGGAAAAGGAGATGGTGGTGCCACTTTCTAACTTTTAGACCAGTGGCTTGAGCACTCACCTGAGACATAGAATACCAGTGTTCATTTATGAATGACGCAATGAATAGATAGTGGGCTAAATAAAAAGCAAGACTGACTCTCCAGCCTAATGGTTAAAAGGCACCTAGAAGGTAAGAGATGAAAGTTCAAGCCCCTACTCCAATGACTATTTATAAAAAGAATACTTTCAACCTGACAGACTGAAAGATCTCCGCCCCCGAATATTCTTAGCCTTGTGGCTAGGGCTACGAGTTCACTTCATGTAGGAGACCCAGATTGCCAAAGGTGGCTCTGATGAAGATGATCTGAGCTTCCACTTCGGTCCTGGAATGCTCTTTGATCAGCCAGTGTGAGGATCATTTCTGGGCATACACCTGCTGCAGGTTTCACAGGCTTTAAAGCCCAGAGACCTGGGCATGTCTCAGCATCAAAAGAGCATGGGACAGGACATCCCCCACCAAGGCACACTTAATCTAACGCTAATGAAATATTTACTACCACTACTAATTATCAATAGAGGAACTAATAAGTGCTCTTTGATCAGCCAGTGTGAGGATCATTTCTGGGCATACACCTGCTGCAGGTTTCACAGGCTTTAAAGCCCAGAGACCTGGGCATGTCTCAGCATCAAAAGAGCATGGGACAGGACATCCCCCACCAAGGCACACTTAATCTAACGCTAATGAAATATTTACTACCACTACTAATTATCAATAGAGGAACTAATAAGA